GTCTTTACACTGTCAAGACCTCCTGATGGCAAAAGCAAAAAAGCTCACTGACTTTGAACGTGGTAGGATTGTACCATGTTCAAATATACAATATACATATTGTATATATGTATATGTATATATACACACACACACGGACGGATGGACAGTTAATGTCGCTTTATGACATAGTGCCGGCAAGAACTTAAAACTACTTTCACCCCTGATYCTGACTTTAAAGCAGCTTATTTTCAGACATTAATACTGTGCTATCCAACTYAATTGCTCAGTTACTTAAAGTTACATCAACAGCTCAGGGGTAGGACAGTTGTTATTATATTTCACCTTTTAAGTTTATTTTGTTGCATTTAATCATAAATTTAAAGTGTACCCTTGATATAAGAAACAATTTTCATGTTACATAAAAAAAATTTTCGTGGCCGGCGACATCTGGCCCGCAGGCATTGAGTTTGACACATGTAATGTTTGTACAAAGTTTTCTATGGCCCTTTTTTTCTTTTTGGAACTCTTTTAAGCTCAGCCCAAGCAAAGGCAAAAGTGGAAAGACTCCATTTTAACAGAAAGAAACCTCGTAAAAGTAAAGCCAGTTCTCTGTCAGAAACATTTTCAGACAGTAGTCCACGCTTTTATTACCACTCGGCTGGACTACTGTAACACACTTTAAACAGGCATCAGTGAGTCCTGTATCTCACAGCTGCCAGAGTTGTAATGTAACAAATACTGTACTTAATACTGTACTTTTACTGTACTTAAGTAGAATTTTTGGGTATCTGTACTTTACTTGAGTAATTATTTTTCAGCCTACTTTTTACTTCTACTTCTTACATTTTCACATAATTATCTGTACTTTTTACTCCTTACATTATTTAAAAAGGCAAGAAGTAGAAAGTTGTTACTTTTATTTCATTTTGCTTGTTTTTATTCCAGCTTGTTATTGTAAAAAATAAAAACTATCCATATAAATTGTGCCTCCTAGATGGAGTGAATTTAACTGTGGTTGAATGAGAAGTAAATCTGTAAAATTCTGAGACCGTATTACTTTGTACACAAATAAATCATGTCACACTCCAGCAGGACATAAACATTAAAATAAAAGGACTGTACTTAATAAGTATTTGTATTTCATGAATTATATAAATGCATTTGGCCGCAGCCCTCAGATAGATTTTCATTTTGGGGAAAAGGTTTGTGCAGCCTTGATATATGTAAATAAACTGAAACAGCTGCATCCTTAATTTAACATCAATTAATTATTTTAATACAACAGTCATTTCTGCATTTTTTGTGGAGGTCACCTCCTGATAAATGTCCTTACAGAAAATCTAACTGCTCATTTTAAATCAATGCTTTTACTTTTAATACTTAAGTACAAAAAATATCAGATACTTTAAGACTTTTACTCAAGTAATAATCTAAAGGAGACTTCAACCTTTACCAAAGTAATTTTTTGGTAAGATGCTTGTACTTTTACTTAAGTATCACTTTGTGGTACTTTATACAACACTGACAGCTGCAGAGGGGACAAAATGCCYCTGCACATCTTTTAACTGGCACGTTTCTCCTGTTTAGTCTCCCTGCAATGGCTGCCCGTATATTTTACGATTCGTTTTAAAGTTTTATTTGATTTTAAAGCTCTTAATGGTCTTGCTSTGCTGTATCTGTCCGATCTGCTACAACCCTATAGGCCCTCTCGATCCCTCAGGTCAGCTGATCAGCTGCTCCTGACCGTGCCCAAGACAAAGCGTAAGCTTAGAGGTGACCGTGCTTTTTCTGTGGCAGCTCCTAAATTATGGAACGACCTTCCTTTGGACATCAGACAGGCATCATCCCCATCTGTTTTTAAATCTCTTCTTAAAACTCATCTTTTCTCTCTGGCCTTTGAACACAATTTGTAGTGTTGTTTTTATGTTTTATTTTCATTTTTTTATTGGTTTTATGAATTTATGCATGCTTTATTAAGTGTACAGCACTTTGGTCCTGTGGGTGTTTGAAGTGCTGTATAAATGAAGATTGTTATGGTGCAAAACCACAGATACCAATGGGATGAACAGGAGGATTCATAATTTCTCCAGAAAATTATGGGTCTGCCTGGGGAATCTCCAGCTGTCTCAGTCATTGTGTCCTTGGGCAAGACACTTCACCCCTAATGCCTCTGATGTGTGTCCCATCAGTGTATGAATGTGATTGACACTGATTAGACTCCATATTTGATTGTACATGTTAGCTTTGTAGATACCTAATAGAGTGCTGTGTGAATGGGTAAATGAGGACACAGATTGTAGTGMAAAGTTCTTTGAGTGTCCTGGATGGATAGAAAAGCGCTATACAAGTACAGTCCATTCATGTTTTTTAGACCTGATTAAGGAAGTGTATCCTTTTAAAACCACAGGCATGACGCTGGTTAGGACATTAAATAAGAAGTTCTTATTTAATGTCCTAACCAACGTCATTAACAAACACATCTTGACAAGTAAACCTGACACATTCCCACCTAATGATGCAGAACCTTCTGTTTGTTTGTGCTTCACAGGAAATTCTAACACAGGCGAAAAAAGATACTTCTGGTGTAAAACTGGAGGTCAACCAGAGGTAAAATGACTACTGCGGATCATAGCACAACTTATCATTTTTTTACTTAGTGCTGTTAAGTTTGATGCCTTTGTTTGTTTGGTTCCAGTATCCTGGCATCCTGTTCAGACCTGATGAAGGTAATATATTGTTTTATTTAAGTCATTAAACTTGGGTTGACCAGTCACTTAGGATTCATTATGTTCCGTTTCCTTTAATCCAGGCTGTCCATATACTGGTGACTTCTGCTACAGATCTACAAAAAGATATTGTTGAAGGAGGCAGGGTGAGTTTCTGTAACACTTATGTGTTTTTAAATTATTACTTTTCCTACATTCTGTAATATTCAAATACTTCAACAGTTCTGGTTTATATGTTTCAGTGGTGTTTGATGAGCACAGCTGACTAAAACTTACTGTTCAGTTCACATAAATTCACATACATATTCATTCAGTTCACATACATAAGGACAAAATTAGCCGATACTGGTTGGCATGAAAATGGTAATCTAAGTCTAGGAAAAAAAAATTTTTTATAACGGAATTGTTTTTCCATCCACTTTTTTAAAATACAAAATAGGAGCGAAGTTATGTTTAATGTATGGTATGTATGGTGAAATGGTTTTGCCCGTGCCTGTTCATTTGTCTGTACTGTTATCAAAATGTACCACTGAACAACTTTTAATACAACTTTAACAATGTACGGTAATCATTAGATGCATGTCTACAACTGATTAACTTTTTGGAGTTGACCCTGTTCATGATGGCCACCACTTTCTTGGAGTTTCATACAGATCTGTCCACTAGTTCATGAGCAGTTTTGCTAATAGTACAGACACGCGCACACACACACACATAGGTTTGTATTTCTATCCTTATTTGGACCGTTCATTGACTTCCATTCATTTTCAGTAATTTCTACAGCCTAACCCTGACCGCCAACCCTAAGGCTAACCTCACAGGTACCTACCTGACCCTAAAACTAACCTAAACTCAATTCACACCTTGGTCCTAAACCCAACACCCAACCCAAAATCAGCCGCTGAATTCGTGGGGACCGGGCTTTGGTCCCCACAAGGAGCATCCGGTCCTCACGAGGTTGCATCTTCCTGAAAAATTTTCCCCACCAAGTAGCAAAAACAAGGGCACACACACACAACATCTCTCTATCCTTGTGGAGACTTTCCATTGACTTCCATTCATTTTTTTGGAATTTTTATAGCCTAACCCTGACCATCTACCCTAAAATAAACCTCACAGCCTATCTGAACCTAGCCTGGTTAAAACCAGCCCTCTGTCCTTCACTTTGCTTCATATGAGGGTCTGGACTCTCGGCTATAGAGAAGCGATTCTTGCTGGAGGCGTGGCCTCTGCTGACATTTAAAATGATTGCATCGGTTGGCCGCGACGTATGTGCTTGCCAGCTCCACTGTGAAGGAGGCTAAGCTAAAAAGCTAACCGGAAATTGTGTGCGCTGTAAACAACCCTACTGAGAGGAGAGAAGTACCGAGACGAACGAGATGGCTGGAAATGCAACTGCAGGCTTTGTCAGACACATTTAATTTAATTTGGAAGCCTTATCAACACGGACTGGCTTCATTCACTTCCTCCACTGTCATTGCTAAACTAGCAGACACTGTGCAGAAAATCAATGTTGTTCAAAACTCTGCCTTCTGTTCTCTGATTGGCCTGAATGAAATTCTCCTGAGGAAATCCTTGTCTATGGGAGAAATCCCAGACGGAGCAGTGAAGGGAAACTAGAATTGAGCGGAATTGTGCAAGTAGGTGTCTCTGCGGATGAGTGCGGACGAGTGGGCGTGTCACAAGGAAAGGCGATTCTAAAGCCACACACCTGATTTGACGGACTTCGCTAAAGGGACACACCTGACAAGCAAAAAAGGGGCGTTACTGTACGGCACAAATTTTTCTAGAGAACCCTACTTGGATCACATTTCTCCTGGTTAACCTTAGTGTTGGGG